TAAACATAAAATCCATTAAAACACAACATTGAGACCTCTGACATCACAATATGCCCAGGTAGGAAAGGAAATCATGGCTTTGATGGCTGCTCTTTGATGCTGCTTCTCTCCAGGCTGTGGGAATTGAGACCCAGAGGAGGAAGAAATCTCCTTAAACAATGAAGGGAGAACCCCAAACCCAGCAAACCCTGAGGGAGAGGGGGAAAGGGCTCTGTGTCCTGGAGAAAATCAGGAACCCAAAGGGCAGCTCCCTCCAAAGACAGCCACTGCTGCTTTCCTCCTGCTCCCACGGGTGTGGGAAAGAGAATTCCAATTGGAATTCCAAGGCAGAACGACAAGCCCAGCTTTGAGGAGCAGGGGAGTGGAACCAAGGCTGGGATGTGGTGCACAAAGAGCCAAAGATTAACAGGGAACAGCCTAAACCCAAAACAGGTCTTAAAAAAGGAGCCAGACTCAGCCTTTGTGGGACCAGCCCTGAAGAAGCCAATTCCAATCCCATTAAGAGCCAGGCTCCCAAAGCCTTTTCCCTAAAGGAACCAATCCCATTAAAGCCCAATCTGCCAAAACATTTTCCCTAAAGGAGTCAATCCCATTAAAACCCAAACTCCCAAAGCCTTTTGCCTAAAGGAGCCAATCCAAATCCCACTAAAATCCAGGCTCCCAAAGCCTTTTCCCTAAAGGAATCAATCCCAATCCCATTAAAGCCCAAACTCCCAAAGCCTTTTCCCTAAAGGAGTTAATCCCAATCCCATTAAAACCCAATCTGCCAAAGCCTTTTTCTTAAAGAAGCCAATCCAAATCCCATTGAAGCTCAAATTCCCAAAGCCTTTTCCCTGAAGGAGACAATCCCATTAAAGACCAATCTCCCAAAGCCTTTTCCCTAAAGGAACCAATCCCAATCCCATTAAAGCCCAAATTCCCAAAGCCTTTTCCCTAAAGGAACCAATCCCAATCCCATTGAAGCTCAAATTCCCAAAGCCTTTTCCCTAAAGGAGCCAATCCCAATCCCATTAAAGCCCAATCTCCCAAGGTTTTTCCCTGGGTTTTGCCCAGCACCAGCACTCAGGAATTTGCCCAGAGAGGATTTCTCTCCTTATCTCAGGATTTTCTGGGGTCCAGCACAGCCACATTTTCCTGCCTCTCTCTCTCTCCATGGGCTCCTGCTCCAGCTCTCTGGCAGGATCCCTAATTAATTGGGAAGCGGCCATTGCCAGCTAATTGCCCAGCTGGATTTTCCAAGCAGAACCTGGATCAAACCCCTCCAAACAAAACCCCCACAAACACAAAGGGATGGAAAGAAAAGGAAAACCAAGGGAAAACAACTTTCCATGGGCTGGCTACCTCCTGTTTGTTCCCAGGCAACAGAATCATCCTCCCTGCTGGCAGCAGGGGTGAGTTGGTGCCATGGACAAAAACCCAAAAAATGAAACCAAAAAAAACATCCCCAACCCCCTCCAAACAAACAAAACAAAAACCTCCAAACAAACAAAAGCCAAACAAAAAACACAAAGAAAAACCTCAAACAAACAAGAATCGAAACCAACAACAACAGCAAAAAAAATTCCCAAATAAACAAAAATTGTAAACAAATAAAACCCCAAACCAACAAACAAAAAAATCCCCCAAGAAACAAAAAATCCAAGCAAATAAAAAACTCAAATACACAAACAAACAAAAACCCCAAATAAACAAAAAAAAACCAAAAAATCCAGAAAACCAACCAAACAAACAGAACTCCCAAGCCCACAAACATAAAAAAAATTAAAACACCAACCCAAACCAAAAACCAACCCAAAAACCTCCCATGAAACAGGAAAACAACAAAATCTTGAAAGAGGAAGGAAACCCTTGAGGTTGCACTTGCATCAAGTTCTTCAATTCCCATCAAAAACTGGAAGTGCGAACATGTTTTACAGGAATGGATGGATGGATGGATGGATGGATGGATGGATGGATGGATGGATGGATGGATGGATGATGGATGGATGATGGATGATGGATGGGTGGATGGATGATGGATGGATGGATGGATGGATGGATGGATGGATGGATGGATGGGGGATGGATGGATGGATGATGGATGGATGGATGGATGGATGGATG